ACAATCCATACACACACAGCTTGCAACAACCACAATCCCAAAGAGCTTATAAACCAGAGAAATAAGAGATTCAGGGAGGGGAAGCAGAGTCACAGATTAATTTGATGGTTTATTTAAGGGCACTTACTTAAGGGGAAATGAGATGTTTCTGCCAGAAGCAGAAAAGGAAATCTTTTGCGTTACTAAAGTATTTACCAGTCCCTTTCTCTCAATATCAATGTATCAAATGGTAAGATTTTCTTCCTATTTTCTTTTCCTGCTTAGCAAGCACTCATAGTTACAGTATTACTCAGTGCATAAGGAAAAAGACTCCCAGATAAAACAATATGAGGTTAATTGACTAGTTTGAGTCGTTCTTTTTTCCACATCCCTCACACAATTAAGAAAAATAATAGTAGTACTATCAAAAGCAAGCAGCTGGATAAAAACCTCCTGATTTGGATGACAATAAACCCTTAAAAGAAAATTCTGATATAGCAGGGCTCTGAGCCAATAGATACTGAAGCATCCATGAATCTAGTTTTTAGTGTATGGAAAAAAGCTTTAGGATATTATTTTTTGTTGTCCTGATTACTTTACATGGCAGTGTTGGAAAACTATGTGGTAAAGCATATATGATCCTGACCTTTTTAGAAACCGGGACAAGGGCACCTTCCATACAGATGAAGATTTCAATGTCCTGTCAGGGAGATTCCAATATATTGTTGATGGTTGTAGTGAATGATGGATGTTAAGGGCTACGTAGTTCTTGCTGTTTCACATTCCTTCTATTTTCTTACTTGGAATACTGCTTTCACAAAAACCACTCTTCTCCATTTTCTCCCACCACTATCTTCTCAGTTTTCATTGTAAATAAATCAAAACCCTATTCAGGAACTGGCCAATATTAAGAAGTCAGACAAAAATGCAGCTTATCAGGACAACTCACTACAGGAGTCCTGCCTCTCATCTCTTTAGGAAACTCTGGCCCCTATCATAGCCACCAGCACCTGCTAGGCTGACCTTGCACAAAAGTCATGCTGTCCACTTCAAAAATCCAGCACTTCCCAATGTGCCCAATACATTCACTGCATGCGCACATACATCCAACATGGCACAGCTGTCTGCAGAGTGCAACATATGAAAGACAGGGAGCTGCTGGAGAGGGTCCAGAGGAGGGCCATGAAGATGATCAGGGGACTGGAGCACCTCCCCTACAAAGACAGGCTGAGGGAGCTGGGCTTGTTCAGCCTGGAGAAAAGAAGGCTGCGGGGTGATCTCATTGCAGCCTTTCAGTACCTAAAGGGTTGTGGATGCCCCGTCCCTGGAGGTGTTCAAGGCCAGATTGGATGGGGCCCTGGGCAGCCTGGTTTATTACTAAATGTGGAAGTTGGTGGCCCTGCATGCGGCAAGGGGGTTGGAGATTCATGATACTTGAGATCCCTTCCAACTCTGGCCATTCTGTGGTATGTATCCAGCTGTGAAAGGCTATTCCACAGGGCCCTTCTTTAAGCTAGGGATAAGGAGCCTTTGTGACATTAGAGATAACATAAAGGAGTTAGATGTTCACTGAGACTTTTCTATTTTTATTAAAGAAGTATTAATGCTTTTGTTTCCATGCATTCCCAGCTAATGTTTCACACCTGAAAGACTGCAGCAGCTCATTTGGAAATAAACAAAAAGCAAGTATACATCAATTTTTTTCCTTCTCAACAACTCTATAAACATTCTCATGAACAGGAACAATCATGAAGTAAACAAAAAGAAATTTCAACCTATTCAACGATGGCAATCTTTTTGTTTGGAATTCATGTAAAACAAAGGAGACTGGGATAGCATTCCTTTTGCTATCACAGGACAGACAACTAGGACAAAGAATGCCACCACAGAAGGAGAGATCTGTATTCTGATAGAATATATTGCAGCTCACAAACAGCAGCAAACCACAGGTTTTTTTCTTATGATAATCTGGAGTAAGAGATAAAGAACGAACAAAAATGAGTAATCATTAGCTACCAACAATTTCAAATAAATGTCAGGAACCCCAAATAACCATGGAATGCTTCACACAGAACAGCTCCTCCCCCTCAACCCACTCCCACCCCACCAGAAAGCAAACAAACTAAAAACACAAACACTACTTCCTCATGGCAACTCAACTCATGGAGCGTAGTCTCACAAGATTTGACAATTGCAATCTCCAGGCTTGACAAACACTTTCAAGTCTTCCTTGCTTTGCAGTAACACACACGTCCCACACATGTAACCAAAAGCCCAAACTTTCAATTACCACTAAAACATTTCAGAGACCTCCTACATTTGACTGAGAATCATCCCGAGCACTGCTTCCCTGTGTAAGTTGTTGTTACAATTAGCTGAACAAGAAAGATAGGGAGAGCCTAGTGATAATCATTGTTCCTTTGACTCCTGTCTCCTTTTCTTCACTTTTCCTTTCTCTTCTTGCCCTTCCACAAACAGGAGAAACCAAAAAGCATACAGTGAGGTGGGATTGAAAACTGACGGATTGGCCAGTCGTGGAGGGTGGTGAACAATGATCTCACTTAAAAATAAGGATTTTCCATTACATTAAGTTCTTCCACACACTATCAAAACAACACCTGTCTTTCCCTGGTATTTCTGCTTCTGGATGAAGTACCAGATAAATGAAATGCAACAATATGCAAAGTTCTGCTTTAGTATAAACCCATTAAAAGCTCTTTTGATTAAGTGATTCTTTACATCCTTCTATTCATAGATATCTTCAAACAATACATGATACGAGCTAATGCAAATTTCACTGGATAGTCTTTATAAGTATTTCCTGTCTTACTGCTAACATCTTGCTTTTTCCAACATTATGGCATTTTGGTTGTATCAAAGTCTTTTATTTTTGTATTAAGAATGAACTGTTCAAACAATAAGCAGATAAGCTCTAATTACGATTTTCTTCTCCAAACCAGTTATCAACACTGCTTAGTCTGAATGGCAAAGTTACTAAGAAACGTACCGCACGGAAAAACTGTTAGCCGTGGAACACAGAAGTAATTGCCACTGCTCAAAGACTATTCTGTATTCTCTTATTTATAATAGCGGCTTAAAGATGTTTGACTTGCAAGAATACGTAATAAAAGGCAAAGGCTTAGAGCCACAAGGAGTTTACGCGACTTTAATCTCCCAGTCCCGCAATTGCCACTGTGTGGCAGGGCTGGCACTACGCAGAGGCACAGGGAGGCTCTGCATTAATTGCTATGCAAATGAAATGAGCAGGTCGTAAGTTCAAAATAGACCATGAAAGGCATAGAATCTCTTTGCACATAGTGCTAGGGATGATAAAGGGATTCACACAACAAAGTTTTAAGTTCTACTTTCTGCTCAGCTTCAGCCAGGCAGAACCCCAAAACAAAAGAGAACTTCCAGCTTTGCACCTGTGAAGTCTGCTTTTAATACCCACCCTGATCCAGCAAACTATAACCCTATATTACTATAACTACCAAAGCTCTCCAAACAGCATTTTTCATGCTCTCCAAAAGCTGTTCATAGCCCCTGTCTCTCTGTAACTACATATATACTGATTTACTTTTACACTTTTGCCTCCACCCATGCTACTAAGGAAAGGACCAGCATGCAAAGCTAAGGTCTAAGGTCTAAAACACAAGAACATAGACACATTTTGCTCTGAACACCAGCGATACAGCTATTTATGAAAACTACATTTGCTCACATTTCTGCTTCATTCTCCTTACCACTCATGATGAAAAATCCTTCCTTTTTGCTAATGTTCATGAACATAAGCATTCTCCAGTTCCTAACCAAGTCTTCTGGTTCTGGTCTGCCCTCTTTCTTGCTAGGAAAGGATATTCAGCTTTCCCTTTCTCCTTTCCTTCTTCTGAAACATTACTGAACTACTTGTAGCTATTCTCAGCTACGAAGTTCCCAATTCAGAGCTCTGACAATCAACCACAGTATCATTTCTTTTGCTTATAATGTGCAGGCACTGCTCTTTTAGCTGCATCCTAATGATCATCATCATAAAACAGTGTATGTTTCATGTAATATACGTTTTGTCATGAACGCATATTAAACTATCAACATATTAACTTGCTTTTTCTTCCAAAAAGCACAGATCCCCTTTCTCAATATCATTATTATTAACAATATTTGGACAGACTTGCTTAAAGCCATTGGCTAACACACAGATCACACAGCTGCTGGTAAAACACTGATCTGATCACACTGACTCTCAAGTTAGAGAATAAAGCTAAGAACTGTGAGATGACAACAGTTTCTCACAAGACATCACTATTTCTGCTATGTTATTCAATTATATTGTTCCAACATCACAGAATATGTTTTTATTCTCTTGCATTATGGAAAAAATGTCTATAATGATGATTTAAAAGCACACACTTATTTTCCAGCTGCGTATACTCTTTACTCACAACTCAGGTTGTAGCCATACACAACAACTCCACACGTGAGTAGAGCAAAAAGAAAAAAATTACAGCAATACAATACCACAAGATTTAAGTTCTTTAACCATATCTCTCTGCATGATAAATACTACACTTTCCACTCACCGCATTCTCCCTTTCCTTCTTTTACCTGTAAATGCTAGAGGTCACTAAATAGGGGAGAGAAGGAAAATTCTTCTCTCTTATTGCAAATGAAACTAAGTCTACAGAGCAACGTAACCTGCGCCTGGAACACCAAGGATACAAGTAGTGCAAAATCCTTGCTTGTGGGAAATACAACCCATTTTTTAATACCATGAGACTACTAAACACAGCACATTTTCTTTTACCTGCAATTGCTGCATATTCATACTTAGCACAAAGAAGTCATGCACATGTCAAAAAATGATGTCTTAACTTTATTTGCAGGACCCAAACATGATACCAGTTGTTTCAGTAGTATAGTCCTTACTGCCTACACATCTGTCTGTGAAATAGCACTGATAACACGTTTATAACATACAGCGCAAACTTCTGTAGAACATAAAATTTAACTGAAGTTATACTTACTGTAACCTGGGAAGCATCCATGAACTGTAAGCCAAAGTAATCAGTTTCCACAAGGTCCAAATGATACACAATCTGGTCAAATAACTCCTGTCCCTTTGCATGTTTCTGGAACAGAATAATAAAAAAAAAAAAAAGTGTTTTTTTTGTTTTGTTTTGTTTCATTTTTATATCTCTATGTATGGGGGGATATTGCACATGGGCTTTGGTTTTTCATTTTTTGTTTTGTTTTGCTTTTCCAGATCCAAATAGGGGGAGTAAAGTTGCACATCAGGAATGAGCATCTCACTAAGTGCTCTAAAGAATTAACATTTTAACATTTCTTTTCATTTTCTTAAAGATTTTCTTCAAGAAATACAAGTGACACACTCCATCTGCCTCTATTCCAACAGTGTAAGACTTTGTTCTCAAAGAAAACCTTCTAAGTTCACAGTAACTCAAAGCACAGGAGAGAAATGAAACCCTTATGTCCCTGTGAGCGTTCCAAGTCACAGAGCCAACATTTTCAATCTCTAGGATGCCAAATTCCACAGCAAATGCTTGCTTAACACACTGCCTGAGATCTGCCTGTTGTTATCACATATCAACTGCAGTTGTACAGTGTCACACAACACTACTTAAGCCACAAAATACATTCTGGACAGCTTGAATACTTAAAGAGCACCATGAGGAAAATTAGCAGTATTTGATAAGAATCTTTCAATAAAGTTGCTAATTGTAATCACGCTTAGAACCTTCAAGTGGAGCCAAGTAAGTAGCTCTAATTCTCATTTGGCATGACACTTGGAACACACAGGAATAGAAATTAAACCAACCCAAATCATAGGCTAAGCACCAGTAGCAAAGTTAGCTGACCTTAAAGCTGGCCTGCAATTTGCCCATGTAGTTGTGCAGAGGTTAAATCGAGAATTTAAGCACCCTGTGTTTCAGCAGGGAGCTTACAGGTGGGCAGGAAGAAGAGAGAAACAAACCAATTTTTCTGCAAACCATTTTGTGTTACTCAGGACATCTGACACCACTATAAATCTCAAGCAGACAAGCTACAGCTGTAGTTCATACAGGAAAGGTACAGTATGCAGAAACCAGTTCTCTGCCTGCTATCCTATAACTGAGGAATTTTTTTTTTTTTAATTTTGACTTTTAATGCTCTAGTTTATTAGGCATTCCCACTTCACCCAAAATACTAGCAGAATTCACCGACTTCAGCTGAAGGAGAGCTAAATAACTTGCTGTTCAATTTGGCTTTCTGTGCAGTATCAGCATTAATCATGATGTGAACTCCTGTCCAGTCATCCAAACTGTCTAAAAATCTATAACTAATTGCAGAAACAGCATTAGGAGTGGCGTTAAAATAAGCTGCACAAAAATTTAGACAAGTGTTGGACCATCAGATGATACTGCTTCGTTGTTTTAGAGTGGAGGAGCAAGAAATCAAGAACAGACAATCAAACTTCAACAAACTACTAAAAGCAGATGAGAAGATAATATTCTTAAAGCAGTACATCACAAAGAAATCACAAATTTCAGATGTCCAATAATAGCTGTGAACTAAAACAAAATTTGCTAAAATCGTATCCAGAACATGTTTTCTCACACTTGGTAAATTCACTATTCGGTCAAAAAAAGCCAAGACAATGCACAGAAGAATTAAAAATGATTCTGCTCCAATGAGGGACAAGAAAACCCTCCAAAGCAAAAAAAAAGGCAAGAAACAAGGAGCTCACAGAACCAGGAAATACTAACTTGATGCCCTGCTATTACTCTATTCCCAGTTGCTTGCTTTACAACTTTAACTACCTACATGTTTATCTTCAAATGCCACACACTCAATAGAAACCAGAAAGTGCACACTTCACCTTCTGTACCCGAAGCATAGTTAATATTCAACATATGTCACATGGAGAAGAGCCCTCCTCAGCACAGCTAGACTGTAATAAAGTACCACATACAAGAACTGCTCCGAAAGTAATGTCTCCTACTTTCTTATGTTGGCCTGCAACATCAGAGGCAGATGTTAATAATACGGCAGTAGAGGTTAAACTTTCCCAACAATATCCCATCACCTGTTGTTGCCATGAAACAGGCAGCAGAGGGGCAGTCTGACATGGAAGTGCATGTGAAGCAAAGATGTTTCCAGTGACATTCACTGATGCTTGCTGAACATTCAATGAGATCAACCAGAGGATGTGAATACAGTGAGGTGTTAGGTGTGCATCTCAGCATTGGTGACAGTGGCAGTAGGTCAAAAACACATGCCTGTTGGTGTTCACTATTGGAAAAGAGTGTTTTTTAGCTGAGAATTTATCAAACAGTGTTATGGTGCTCTTTGTATCTGTTCTAGCTTCCATGAAAATAAATAGGAAGCACTATTTTTGGAGCAATCTACATACACAGTTTACAGGAGGTTATAACATTTAACTTGCCACTAAATGAGCTCAGTAATTCATAACGTGCAGATAACAAGGCCACTGCAGCCACCAAACTGCTGACAAGAAAAAAATAAAGGCTTTGAAATATTACATTCAGGAACAACAAAGGTAACTCTTCTCTACTAACAGTAAAGGATAACCTGTTCTCCTTCCTTCTGCCTTCCACACTGACTTACAACCAGTTATACTGCAGGTTGATAAATCAGTACCTGTGAAATGAATCAAATGAATGGTACTGACAAAATAGAAGTGGATTTTCTCTGGAGTTGCATAGGCCAACATGTATAACAGCAATGAGTCTTTTTTTCCTCCCTTTTCTCTAGATAACAGAAGCTAAAAACAAACAAACAAACAAATGCTATCTCAATCAAAATATGGTATCAAGAATATGAAATCAATGTCAAACAAACTTTTCACTGGAGATACGATCAGCTGGAATTCAACAAATCACGCCTTCTCTACAGAGCTTCAATTTGTGAATTTTTTTTGAAAATGTATGTTAAAAAAAGTACTTAGCCTAAAAATATTTTATAGCCCTCATTTGCTAGATAAATGGTTCAGAACTGTCAGAAGATCTGCATAGCCTACATCTCAATAGTGGCGAAAAGACAATGTACACAGACAACTACTTAGAGTTATTACTTTGTTGTTATAAAAACTACTATAATTTGGAAAAATTATGTTATTAATGAAATTGCAAAAACACTTATTTATTTTTACAGCTAAATCACTGCCAGCTTCTGCTGGAGAGTTCCTAGGATCCCAAGAGAACCTGTGAGAGAGCCATCAAACCACACAGACGAACACTGGAGCCCTCAAAACGTCAAACTTACAAACCCAATTACAACCACAGCACAAAGTGAAACTGAACTACCACAGGGCAGTCACTTGCATCCCCTTTTACCTCTTTGCCCTTGAGGAAGCACAGAGATTGAATTATGCTGCCAGTTGGGAAGCGCCATAATGGAGAGCACTACTGAGCGAGAGAGGGGAAAAAAAAAAAAAAAAAAAAAAAAAAAA